CAACAGGTGGCAGGATGGCTCAGCTGGTGAGAGCACGTGCTTCTAACAACAAGGTTTCTGGTTTGACTCCCGCATGGGATGGTGGGCTATGCTCACCTGCAACTAAGATTGAACACGGCACCTTGAGGTGAGCAGCCGCGAGCTGACATCGGGCTGCTGGATGGCGACTAGACTTGGAGCTGAGCTAGCTGTGCCCTCCACAACTAAGACTGAAGGACACCAACTTGACTGTTCCCCTTCCCCAATTCCCCAACACTGTTCCCATCCCCCAATTCCCCAATAAAATCTTTAAAAAAAAAAACAAAAGAAATGTTTGCTTGTCTTGCGGAACACTCGCAAACCATATTACTCGCAATCCAAGGTTTTACTGTAATTAAGATCAGAGCAGAAATAAATGAAACAGAGATTGAAAAAAACCCAAAAATATAATAGCAGAAAAAAATCAATTAAACTAAAAGAGAGAGAAAGCCCAAATAAATAAAGTCATAAATAAAAGTTACAACCAACACCACAGAAATATAAAGAATCGTTAAAGAGTACTACAAACAAATGCCAACAACTTCAACAATCTAGAAGAAATGGATACATTTCTAGAAGCATATAACCTTCTAAGACTGATCCAGGAAGAGATAGAAAGTCTAAACAGACCAACTACTAGCAATGAAACTGAAGCAGTAATCAAAACACTCCCAACATATAAAGTCTAGGGACCAAGATGGCTTTACAGATGAATTCTACCAGACATCTAAAGAAGAATTAATACCTATCCTTCTTAAACTATTTTTAAAAATTAAAGAGGAAGGAACACTTCCAAACTTATTTTACAGCCATCATTACCCTGATATCAAAACCACACAAGGACATTACAACAAAAGAAAATTACAAGCCAATATCCTTGATAAACATACATGCAAAAAAATTCTCAATAAAATATTAGCAAACCAAATTCAACAATACATTAAAAGGATTATACACCATGACCAAGAGTGATTTATCTCAGGGATGCAAGAATGGTACAACATCCATAATCAATCAATGTGATACATCACATTAACAAAATGAAGGATGAAAATCACATGATCATCTCAATAGATGCACAAAAACATGACAAAATTCAACATCTCTTAATGATAAAAACTGTAAACATGTGGGTATAGAAGGAACATACCTCAGCATAATAAGAGCATATATGACAGGGCTGGCTGAGTGGCGCGTTGGTTAAGAGCTGGCTTGGGACGCCAGCTCTGAGCAGCAGGGCCCCGGTTTGGATCCCACATTAGGGCCAGCGACGCTGCACCCTCTAGAGCTAAGATGGTGAACAACAGCTCGACCTGGAGCTGGGCTCCCCTGAGGCGTGGCGACAGTGTAGGCTGCAGAGGGGCTGCAGTGGGCTGCCATGAGTTACCGTGAGTGGCTGGCAGCCCGGCGTGAGCGACCGGCAGCCAGTGTGAGTTGCCAAAAGCAGCCCTGAGCGGCCGTCCAGTGGCCGGTGACCGATCTGCCTCACCCGGGAAGAGCACAATGATAATACCAACATGGGCCAGTGAAGCAACGTCCTTCACAACTAGACTGAAGAATAAAAGGACAGCAACTTGTCTGTTCCCCTTCTCTGATTCCCCAACGCTGTTCCCCTCCCCCAATTCCCCAATAAAATCTTTAAAAAAGAAAGAAAGCATATATGACAAACCCACTGCTAATACTGCACTCAAGGTTTACCTCTAAGGTCAGGAACAAGACAAGGATGCCCACTTTCATCACTTCTATTTGTAATATTGGAAGTCCTAGCCACAGTAATCAGACAAGAGAAATAAATAAAAGGTATCCAAATTAGAAAAGAAGTAAAACTGTCACTATTTTCAGATGATACAATAGTATATATTTTAAAACCCTAAAGGCTCCACCAAAGAATTATTAGAAATAATAAATTAATTCAGAAAAATTGCATGATACAAAATCAATATATGGAAATCTGTTGTGTTTCTATACACCAATAACAAATGATCAGAAAGATAAATTAAGAAAACAATCCCATTTACAACTGCATCAAAAAGAATCAAATACCTTGAAATAAATTTAACCAAAGAGATGAAAGACCTGTACTCTGAAAACTATAAGATACTGAAGAAAAAAATTGAAGATACAAATAATAGGAAGAATATACCATGCTCATGGGCTGGAAGGATTAATAGTGTTAAATGTCCTTATACCTAAAACAATATACAGATTCAAAGTAATACCTGTTAAAATACCAATGGCACTCTTCTCAAAACTAGAACTAATCCTAAAATTTATATGGAACTACAAAAGACCCCAAATGTCCACAGAAACCTTGAGAAAGAACAAAGTGGGAGGTATCATGCTCACTGATTTCAAACAAAGCTACAATAATCAAAACGATATGGTACTGGAATAAAAGCAGATATGTGGATCAAAGGAATAAAACAGAGAGCTCAGAAGTAAATCCTCATTTATATGATCAATTAATCCATGACAAATGAAGCAAGGATATACAATTGGGTAAAGACAGTCACTTTAATAAGTGGTGCTGGGAAAATTGGACAAACACATGCAAAAAAGTGAAACTGGATCACTTTCTTACACCATATGCAAGAATAAACTCAAAATGGATTAAAGGCTTAAATGTAAGACATGAAATCATAAAACTCCTAGAAGAAAAAGGCAGTAAAATCTTTGACATCCATCTTAGCAGTATTTTTTGGATATGTCTCCTTGAGCAAGGGCAACAACAACAAAAAATAAATAAATGGGACAACATCAAACTGGAAAGTTTTTGCACAGTGAAGGAAATGATCAACAAAATGAAAAGACAATCTATTGAATGGGAGGAGATATTTGCCAATGATATATCTAATAAGCCGGTAATATCCAAAATATATAAGGAACTCATACAACTTAACACCAAAAAAACAACCCAAGTAAAAAATGTGCAGAAGACCTGAATAGACATTTCTTCAAAGAGGACATACAGATGGGCAACAGACATATGAAAAGATGTTCAACGTCACTAATCATCAGAGAAATTCAACTCAAAACCACAATGAGGTATCACCTCACACCTATCAGAATGGCTGTCATCAATAAACCAACAAATAACAAGTGCTGGTGAGGACATGGAGAAAAGGGAATCCTCATACGTGTTGGTGGGATTGTAAATTGGTGCAGCTACTATGGAAAACAACATGGATATTCCTCAAAAATTACAAATAGAAATACCATCTGACCCAGCAATTCCACATGTGAGTATTTATCCAAAGAACACAAAAACACTAATTCAAAAAGATATATGCACCCCTATGTTCATTGCAGCATACCTTAAAACAGCAAGATATGAAAACAACCTAGGTGTCCATCAATGGATGAATGGGTAAAGAATATGATATACAGTGGAATATTACTCATCAATAAAAAGGAATGCAATCTTGACATTTGTGACAACACTGATGGACCTAGAGGGTATTATGCTAAGTGAAATACGTCAGACAGAGAAAGACAAATACTGTATGATCTCACTTATATGTGGAATATGAGAAAACAAACCAAAACAGAAAAAGATCCATAGGTATAGAGAACAAACTGACGGTTGCAAAAGGGGAGGAGGGTGAGGGGATGGGTAAAAAAAAAAAAAAAAATATATATATATATATATATATATATATATATATATATCCTCAGCACAAGAAAAAAAAGAAAACAGTGTCACTATAGTCAAGCTGCTAAATTACTAAAAAGTCAAGTAGATTGAGAAACAAGGAAATGGTTATAATCTTGTTTTAACAATCATGGGAACTTGACCTTTTGAACTTTCCAGTCCTGTATCACTGCCTGGATACATACATCAGTTCATTGTGTATCAATACCTGGACACACACCAAACCTCCAGATTACCCCCATATCACCCCATGAAGGCAGTATCCAGGCCACCTGACGCCCATCATTCATCACCTGACAGCTGACTGATAACTGTCCCAGATCCTCCAGGTGAAGAATGCAGAACTGATTACTCTCAGGAATGCAATTTTTACCATAAAAATTCAACTTTTCTTTCCTCTTTGGAACACTTCTTTCTGTGTTTCTGCCTAGCTATGTTTCCAGTTTGCAAAATCCAAGGCCCACGAATAAATCTTTACTATTTATTTCTAGCCAAAGCCTCCCGACTCTCTTTGAGTTCGCTGGACAAAACCAAGAATCCGGTGAAGACACCAGGCCTCTACTCCAGACACCAAGTCTTTGACTCTTCAGGATCCCATTGGCCATTGCCTGACCAGCTTCACATCAGCAGGTTTTTACTTCTGACCCCAGCGTTCTTCTTAGCCAGACGCCAAGCCTTTATCCCAGAAACTATGACACTCAGGACCAGACCTAGATCATTCATTACACAAGACACCAAGCCTTTACCACAGAAACCAGAGCCCTGGCCTGGTCACCATGCCTTTAGCTCAGACACCAGGCCTCCCTATTATTCAGCTATTCGAATTTCCCTCCTCTCCCACTCCCATTTCCGCCCCTGGCTCAGGACGCCAGAACTTTAACCTCGACAGCAGTTCTTTACTCAGGCCCCCTGGGCTCTGGCACCAGACCTTCATTCCTGGCCAGCCTGATTGGGATATCACCATATGGCCTCTGGCCCATTAGGGTCCTCCCTCCCTCAGGCAGACATAGCTTTGGCCTAGATCCCCGGGGGGTCATACCCCGACCCCTGCGGCATCCAAGCCCCTAGATCCCCACGCAGGCCACCCCTGGCCCTGCGACAAACTCACGAAGACAGGGTCCGGCCGCTCCGGCCGCGAGAGTCGAGCCATGACCACCATTTTCCTGGCTCTCCAGCTACCGGAAGCAGTCGCGTTAGAATGACGTATTATTCTGACGTTCAACACTTCCCCGTCCTTCCCGCCCCGCCCCGCTCGCCGCCAGACTCACTTTCTATTGGCTGACCCCATCCCGAGAATGCGACACAAGTTGTTGACTTTCACTTAGACATCGCCAGCGACCAAAAGCAGAGAGTAGGAGCCCGAAGATGACATCATCCGGAGCTCGTCTGCCAATCAGCTTCAGTAGTGGATCCCGCGAATTCCCAATGAGCTGCAGCGGTTTTGCAGGAGGGGGTGGCTTTGGGCGGAAGTGGCTTTGTAGCCCCAGAGAAGCGAAATGGGGGTGAAGCTGGAGGTGTTTCGGGTCAGTGGGCACTCGAGCGGGTGGGCGGGGGCGCATTCCTGGCTCTGAGAAGGAGGCTCTGAAAAAAGAGGATTCCAAAAGAGGGTGCTCTGGGGAGAAAGATGCTGAGATTTGAGAAGGCCTTTCTCAAGGGTTGGAAACTCAGAGAAGGGGGCGCCGGGTTCGGGGAGCGCTCCTGAAAGGCTGGTGTGAGGAAGGACCTCTGAGAGGGGTGATCTGGCTAGGGGGCTCTAAGACGGAAGCCTCCAGATTCTGGGGGAGCTCTTGAGCTCAGGAGGGGTGTGTGTGTGTGTGTGTGTGTGTGTGTGTGTGTGTCTGTCTGTCTGTCTGTCTGTCTGTCTGTCTGTCTGTCTAATAGATTCCTAGAATAGGGAGTAGACTCTGAAGAATGAGGAGTTTGGAGTGCTCCTGTAATCTGACCTGGGGGAGCTGGTTAACCAGGTCTCAGAGATGCCTATGATTGTAGTAGGAACTCCTGTACTCCTGGGGCCAAGGTATGTGTGTGCGTGTGTCTTTCTTTGAGAGGGTGTCTCCCATACTTGAAGGGAGCTTTCAAAAATAAGGTCTCTTGGATTATGGGGGCTAGACTCCCATAATCTCAGGCCTCTTGAGGGGCCCTGAGGAGATGCCCCTGGGCTCTGCCAGAGGATGGTCCTCCGGGCTCTGAGCAACCTCTGCACATTGGAGGAGGGTGGTTATCCCTGGCTCTGCTCATCCCATCCCCCCCACCTTCCAGATGACACTCTACCTCACCTTTCCTGTGGCTATGTTCTGGATTGCCAATCAGGCCGAGTGGTTTGAGGACCACGTCATACAGCGCAAGGTGGGTGCAGGGAGAGTGTTCAAGGGTTCATTGCAGGGGGTGGGGGAGGGTATGGGCACTAACCTGCTAGGGACCAATGTCTGCCTCCCATGAGCCGGCCTGCCCTGGGTGTGGGGCTCTGGAGGCTCCTGGCTCATCTGTGACTTTGTCCCCACAGAGGGAGCTGTGGCCACCTGAGAGGGAGGACCAGGTAAGTGACATAATCCTTTTCCCACCGGAGGGATGGAGGGGCCTGGGTCCCTTTGGCTATGATGGATTCAAATGAAAATATTATCCTGGGTCATAAGAAGGAAACTGAGAGCGGTGGAGCACATGGTTTCCTTGTCCTCTCCCTGAAGGATGAAGCCAATCCCACTTGGACTCTTCTTGTAATTGGCACAGTGCTTCCAGTGTAGACACTGAACTCTGAAGCCATGGCCTGGGGAGTAGGGGACAGAGTGGTGGGAGAAGGGTCCATGCCCTGAGGTATGTGCCCTGCTCCCTTCCCATCCCACCCTTTCCCCACCCTTAGCGCCAAGAGCTAGAAGAATTCAAAGAGAGGATACGGAAGCAGCGGGAGGAGAGACTCCTTCGTGCTGCCCAGCAGAGCTCCTGAAGCCTCCAAGTGCTTGAGCCCCAGGCCTTCCATCCATAAAATAACACACACTCAGTTCTTTGTTGCTTGTGGAAGTGTTTTATTGTCTGCTTTCAGGGAGCCCAAGTGGGGGCCCAGGACAGCTCAGGCCCTCAGGGAGCTTGTGTCTGGGGTTGGGGGCTGCTGTTCCGACGGAAGCTGAGAGCAGTTGGATCCTGAGGGGTGAGGAGGGGTTGGGGGCTGAGGGTCCCCATGCGTTTCTGCATTCCATCCTGTGAATGAAGAGAGGTCAGCCAGAGAGAGGGACCAAGGGCAGAGCCAGCCAGAGGTGACACAAACAATGGAGGGAGGGTGCAGTTGGGAACCAGTGTCCCTGCTCCCACCATCCCCAAGCTTCTGTATACCTTAGTTGCTCAACACTTAGGGTGGTATTTGGGTGTGAGGTGGGGGTCTTGGGGATCCCACTGGGGTCTTGATCAGAACCCAATCTCTGCATGATTACATGTGACATAGATACACATGAGTGTATGTATGCATGTGTCCTGTGCATGAGCTCATGTGCCCTTCTCCCTGGGAGTATCTTCCCAGGAGGGGCATTCTATTCTCTCTGGCCTGGGGGCAGGAGCCATGAGTTCCAGCCATGGGTCCGAAATTAACATGGCCCCTGCATGATCTTGAGCACCTCTTGGCCTTGTCTGGGCCTTCATCCTCCTGTCTGAAGTCAGATAGTGAATTGGCCAGGGCTTTGTGACTGGTAGGAACACAGGGTGGCTCTCCTACTAGGCACTCATCACCAGGGGACACATGATGGACAGAGGTGGGAGGTCATTCACTCTGGGCTGGGGGTAGGAGACAGGGTAAGGGGGCTCAGCCTGGTTGGTCTCTCCTCAGCCCCAGCAGAATATCACCTACCTTGGGACCCACAGGCTGGAAGCCAGGCAGGGCACTGACTGTCACACGCTGGTCATCCATGCGGCGGCCCTGGGTGCTGGCCAGCATGTCCATGAAACTGTCCATCTCTGGCGCAGGGCCACTCTCTGTGTAGAGTAGAGGCAGGCAGGGATGAACACATACACAGATTCCAGGGAACACAGCCCAGCTGGAGCCCCCAGCCCACCCCTTCCCCCACATTCACATTCTCCAGGAAGCATGCTCATTTCTTCCCCATACCCCTTGCCCCCATACCCACAGGCATCTGTGTCCCCAGTTGCTGGCTCATTTTCTCAGACTCATGCCCACAGCCCCCCCCCCCCAGATAGTCACCCTGTACCTCTCTACACTCTGCCCCGTCACAATCCCCAGAAAGCACACCCAACCCCACACCCCCCACTGCCCATGCTCACGGCTCTGGGAGGTTGTTCCTGGTCCTGCCTGCAGTGAGCAGCGCTGCTCCTCCATTCGGTCACCCTGCACATGGCTCAGCAGGTTGAAGAAGCCCTCTTGGTCTGGGGAGCCCGCCTGGGGGACAGACACACCTGGTCTAGCTGGCCCCTTAGTTAGGGGACCCCTTACCAGCTACCACCCGCCCTCCCCTCCTCCTTGGCTCTCACCATAGTCCCCGCTGATGTGCTGCTCTGCAGAGCTGCTCTGAATGAGACACGAACCTCCTTCCAAGCCCCTGCCCCCAGGGCCCAGCCAGCAGAGCCACTTCACGTGGTGCCACCTCAAGGGAGAGGCTGCCGGTATCCTGCAGTCCTAGATTGGGGCCTGCCTGCAGGGTGGTCTGGAGGCTGGGACACCAGCTGGGAAACATACCAGGAGCTGCCCACAAGCCCCAGTATCCCCCCAGCTCACCCGGATATCTCTGAAAGCACTGACCTCTGCCCTGGGGCCTGGGGAAGCACTCAGACCCTCATTCCCATCAGCACCTCCTTGGGCAGCAAACTAGGTCAGGGGTCCCGGGAGACACATCGCTAATTAGGTGCCCTACAAACTAGTTAGTCTTGTCATTCACTGCTCTTGAGGAGTTGGAGGTGAGTAGGGGTGGGGCCTGCTTACCTTGACACAGGGGGTTTAACTCCCATCCATCTTCTCTTCCTGGTCTATTGTCCCTGCTCCCTGGCCCCATCCACTTCTCTGCTGGCCTCTGACCCAGACTGGTGCCAGAGAAGGCTTTTTAGAAGACTGGGGTATGGGGGGAGTGGATACCCAGCCCCATATCCCTGGTTCACACCCCATCTGCCCCCACCCAAGCTTAAGCCCCATAAAGATGATCCAGATAATTGTTTTTGCTGTGTGATGCCCAGGCTGCTGTGGGGATAGGAGACCTGGTGACCTGGGTAGGGACCTTGCTGATCCAGCAGGACTCACTGGCTCCCAAGAACTCTCAGGTGGGGTGCAGCAGCAGGTCAGAGTAGTGTCCCCACAGTGGGGAGGAGAGGCTGGCTGGTCCCCATTGGAAAAGAACAGGCCAAGAGAGCAGGTCTGGTGGGGTCTGCAGCCCACCAGCAGGAAGCAGTACAGGAGGCAGGAAGACGGTCTCACCACACTGGAAGGCGGTTGCCGGCTGCAGGTGGTAGGGAAAGGGGAAGCTGGCCCAGAAGATCCCCGAGGCACCACCAGCGGCCTAGCGCCATCCCTCTCCCTACCCACTGTCCCTGGGTCTGGTTGCTCCCCATAGGCCCCAAGGCAAGGTCTGGAATCTCCTGTCTCCCTACCACCAATACTAAGTTGAGCTATCTCCTCTGATCTGTCCCCCCAGCTAGACACCTGGGGAGGGAGGCAAGGAGGAAAGCCCCTCCCCTCCCCTGAGCAGCTATGGCTTTCTGTCAGTGTCCTAGAAGAGGACTCCACTGGGAGGACCCCACCTACACCCCATTCCCTCCCCAGTTAAAGTTCCTTCTTGGAATAAATGGGCCACACTGTCACCACCCCTGCCCAAGTGCAAAGTTTGGTCCTCCTCCCTGGGCAGCCCTCCCCAATCCAGGATCCATAGTCACACCCTCTCCATAGCCCCAGGTCCTCAATGACAATGTGATGTCCTGCTTTGCCAAAGATGTATTAATGTCCTGGGGCTGCCTTAACAAACTGGGTGACTTAGAGCAACACACACTTATTATCTCACAGTTCTGGAGACCAGACGTCTGAAATCAAGATGTCAGCAGGGCTGCGTTCTTGAAAGCTGGAAGGGGGAAATCCTTCTTTGTCTCTCCCGGCTTCTAGTGGTTGCTGGCTTCTAGCTACAGTACTCCAATCTCTGCCTCTGTCATCACATGACATTACCCCTGTGTCCTTATCTTCACATGGCAGTCATAAGACATGGACATAGTCATATTGCATTAAGGGCACATCCTACTGCAGTACTATGTGTGTAATGACCCTATATCCAAATAAGGTCACATTCTGAGGTCCTGGGGGTTAGGACTTCAACATACTTCCCCCCCCCCAAGCCAAGGCATGGGCAGGACACGATTCATCCCATAAGAGTGGAAAAGCCTGGTCACCCTCGCCCAGTATAGTGGAGGGTGGCAGGCCCTAAAGAGAGACCCCCAGGGGACAGGTTGAGAAACTAGAGGTGTCCCAGGTTCCTCACAGTCTCCTAGCTCCCTTCTTAGCTGCAGGGGACCCCTCCTTTCCCTGCTCAGAACTCGCCTTTGGTCCTCATTGTGGCCAGGAGAAAACCCAAACACCTTGGGAGTAATGGGAATGTTCTAGAATGGACTGGTGATAGATACTTAACCTCTGAATATGCCAAAAGCCATTGAATTGTACACGCAGTGGGCAAATTGTAATGATATTCAAATTATATCTCAATAAAGCTTTGAAAGAAAAGGAAGGAAAGGAAGAAAAAGAAAAAAGGAAAGAAGGAAAGAGCAAAAAACAAAGAGGAAGAAAGAAAAACCCAAACTCCCATCTAGGGTGTCCAACCCTCCTGGCTTGCCTGGGACTGTCCCAGTTTTCTCACATAGAGCCTTGCATCCCAGAAACCCTTCCATTCTAGGCAGATTGGGCTGGGTTAGTCCTACCTTGCCCCACAGAAGTCCGGCCTCTTGCCTGGCCCCTTTCTCTGCCATCACTTCATTCCCATCCCGCCGCTGACTCCAACCTCATCTCCTGCCTGGATTGCTGCATGGGTGCTCCTCGATGTCAATCAGGGTGAAGTCTAAAGACGACCCCCTCAGAGTTCCTCTGGTACGACCCCCAACAAAGTTCCCCCTACAGGGCATTTGCTATCCTATCACTGTTTATTTCCTTTAGGGCAGAATTGATTATTTCCTATCCCCTCCTTCCTGAAGTCAACTGTGTCAGGTGGCAGACCTTCTGTTGTCTGTCTCATGCCTGTCCTATGTAAGTGGCAAAGGGCATGACACCTGGCCAACTCTTAATAACAACACTACATGAAGGAACCAGTTCAGGACTCTGCCTTTGCACACATGCATCCCTCTTTAAATTTGGGACTTCATTCGTATGGGTGCTGCTGGACTGTGTTCATATCAGCCCTTTGCTGGCACACAGCAGGAGCAGGCCCTGAAATTTCGAGTTGAGTGTGAATTGAAGTGTGTGTGAGTGTGCCATCAGTTGAGCATACCACTCAACCCACGTGTGTTTCAGCCTGTGGATATGATTGTCGCCTGTGAGCATGTGTGTGCACCTGGTGAGTGAGGAGCGTTTCTCCTGGGGCAGGCTCCTGGTTCAAATCCCAACAGGCCTACTCATCACGCGGCCTTGGACAGGGGTCCCGCTGAGCTGCTATTTCATTGTCTATACCGCACTCCTCAGGGTGTCTGGGAGATTTGAGTGAGAATCTGACACAGGTCCCTGGCACACAGTAGGTGCTGACAGCTCCATACCTACCTCCAGACCAACTCCTGAGCTTATCAAAGGTTGCCAGAGCTTGCTGCTGTTGTTGCTGCTAAATTATGGGGTACAAAAGGTAAATGGGTCATGGGTTTGTGGTCCCGCGGCCCTGTGTGGGCACACAGCATCCCTCAGCCACGGAGAAACAGGTTAAGGAGTTATTATTGTGCTGCGATCCCACGTTCTCGCTGCACACAGAGGGGAAGTGTATCTGAGCTCTCGTCTGTGAGCATGTCGTCGGGGTGGGCCCCTTCAGCGACTTGATGCCGGTTTGCCCGGACACATCCGCTTGTCCACTCTACGAGGGACCCACCTATCCCTCCGAGAACCGACAGCCGGGACGGGGACAGGTGGGCAGTGGGCGGGGCAAGGTTCATCAGGGCGGGGTCCATATGGATGACGCGCGGGGCCACGCCCCCACCTTGGGACAGACCCGGAAGCGGCGGCGGCGCCCCTTGGGGAAGATGGCGCCCTCGGGGCTGAAGGCGGTGGTGGGGGAAAGTGAGTGTCGCCCTGGACTGGGCTCCTGCGTCCCTTGGGGGGCGGGGGCCAGGGGCGCAAGGACTCTGGGACCCCGGCGGCGGGGAGTTGGGAGCCGACCTGGGCGTCGAGCACCTGACCCTCGAGGGGGCGGACGGGGACTTGGTTCCAGCTGGACGTACCGGCTCTCCAGTGCCCGAGCGGAACAAAGTTGGGAGACTGGACTCCGGGGACTCAAGGGGCTCAGGATAGGGGTGGCGTAGGCAGCTGGCGGGGCCCGGATTCCTAGGTCCGCTAGGGCGCCGGCGGGGGCGTGGGGAGGTCACAGCTGGGCGCCCAGACTCCCTGCTTAGAGAACCCAGCAAAGTCCGGGGGGCTGGATTCTTGGGGCCCCATGCTGTGGACTGGGGCCGGGCTGGGTACGCCGATCAGCGACACCAGGTGGTGTGAATGCTCTGGAGGCGTTTCCAAGCCTATGTTCAGGTCCAGGAGTGGGGGACGCTTTCCTCTTTTCGGTCCGCAAGAGTCCCATGCAGCGTGAGGACCAAGATGTCCAGGTCGCGCGGGCTGGGTTCTTGGGGGATGGGTGGAGATCGCCGCCTCCCGCACCTCGGGTAGTTCCGGCCTCAGCTGCTCCTTCCGCCCTGGCGGTCTTGATAACAGTGGACATGACATTGGCAGGGCGGGGCCACCCCGTCTCTTGTCCCCCCTCTCTTTGCAGGGGAGGGCAGAATGTGGCACAAACTCCCAGCACCCCAACTAAAAAGTAGCCTCCTACATAGGGGTTAACGGGGAGACGGGAAAGCCACTGATTCCACTTTACAGATGAGGAAACTGAGGCTGGAGGTTGGGTGATGGAATGACCACAGCGAGGCACGTTTCAGAGCAGGGAACCAGGGGGAAGCTGAGAGCCCCACTCTGGAGGCAGGAAGACCTGTATGGAGCCCTAGCTTTACAGTTATTGTTCATTTTAAGCATATTTATCCAGCGGCTACTTATACCCCAGGCACTGGGTCACTTGGGCACTTAGGGTCCTTAGTCTAGTCGCTTGCCCTCTCTGAACCAGTTTTCCTGTATATAAATTGGGGTGACACCAGGAGCTACATTACAGAATGGGGGAGGGGGAGGAGTAAACAGGAGTTAAGATGGAAGTCCAGCCTGGGATTCAGAAGGTTTGGGGGTGTGGTGAGGCCAGAGGATCCAGCACCCTGACCCTATCTCTCCCTTTCCTACAGAAATTCTGAGCGGAGTCATTCGGAGTGTCAAAAAGGATGGGGAGTGGAAGGTAGGGGGGAGGCACAATGCTTTGTCCAAACCCATGTGGAAGGCCTTGAATGTGGGACCCCCTCAAACTTCCTGAGGAGGCTCCTGTCCACAGGGATGGGATCAGGTCAGGTGGGGGTGTGGTCCTGGGTCCTACCTCCCGTTTAGCCAGCTCTTGAAGCCATCAGTCCTGCCCACCGCCCCAACCTCACCTCCAGGGCAGCTGTGGCCTCTCCTGCCCACTTGTCTGTCCATCCATCCATCCATCCATCCATCTGGACAGGTGCTCATCATGGACCACCCAAGCATGCGCATTTTGTCATCCTGCTGCAAGATGTCTGACATCCTAGCTGAGGGAATCACCAGTGAGTAGACACCCTCACCCCTTGCTCCCCAGAAGGAACCTGACAGTGGGAACTCCCAAACGTGGGACCCCTGGGGTGCAGCCTCTGAGTGTGGGATCTCCTCAAATTGTCTAGAAATCCCAAGTATGCAGCTCCCTGTATAGACAGCCTGGAGCGTGTCACCCTCCCAAGTATGTTCTCCAAATGGACAACCTGAGTGTGGGAGCTCTCCCACACAGAACTCCTGGCTGCAGCCCCCTAAAGGGTCAACCTCCCCAGCTCTGCAACCCCTGTGTGTGGAACCCTGTGTAGAACCCTCAGGGTGAACTCACTGTGGGGACCCCAGGGTCTGAGAGACTTGCTGTGTGCTTTGGTCTCAATGTCACCTTCATGTGTCCCTCCTCTGTTCCTACTAGTTGTCGAAGACATCAACAAGCGGCGAGAGCCCATCCCCAGCCTGGAGGCCATTTATTTGTTGAGCCCCACAGAGAAGGTGCCTATGTGAGCGAGTGTGTGTGAGCGTGCATGTGTGCATGCCTCTGCATGTCTGCACATGTATGGGGAGCACACGTAGGAGCTGGGAGGCCGGGGCAGAGGATGGACGGGTCAGGGGGTGCAGGACCTGGCCTGGAGAGTGGTTTGTATTCCCTAGTCGGTGCAGGCCCTGATTGCAGACTTCCGGGGGACCCCGACCTTCACCTACAAAGCAGCACACATCTTCTTCACTGACAGTGAGTGAGGAGAGCCAGGGGTGTGGTGGTCCGGGTCAGGGGGCATGGGGGCGGCTCTGGTCTGATACCCTCCCTTGTCCCCCTAGCCTGCCCTGAGCCCCTGTTCAATGAGCTGGGCCGCTCCCGTCTGGCAAAGGTGGTCAAGACGCTGAAAGAGATCCACCTTGCCTTCCTCCCCTACGAGGCCCAGGTATAATAGCCCAGACTAGTCCTGGGCAGGGAGTTGGGTGTCTGTGACCAAGCGACCCAGGTTCCTTCAGGAATAGGCTCTGACACAAGTAAAGGGAACAGCGAGTCATAAAGGAAAGGAGCCAACATGGAGCAGAATGAGCTCTTACCACTGTGGACACCTGCAGCTCCGTCGATTGGGCAACTTTAGGGGGCAGTGTAGAGCAGACCTGAGTTGGCCTACCCAAGGGGGAAGGGCATGGGTTGGAGGTACCCTAGCCTGCCTCCTGGATGGCAAAGCAGGCTCCAGGGGAGGCCCCAGGGTGTGGCAGGTGCTGCCATCTAGAGTTGGGCAGGTGCACGCCTACAGCCATGGTTCTGGCACTTGTGTCCTTCCAGGTGTTCTCCCTAGATGCCCCCCATAGCACCTACAACCTCTACTGCCCCTTCCGGGCAGGTGAGCGGGCACGGCAGCTTGAGGCACTGGCCCAGCAGATCGCCACACTTTGTGCCACACTGCAGGAGTACCCAGCCATCCGCTACCGCAAGTGGGGACCCCACCCTGATGCTGCCCCCTGACCTTGACCTTAGCCTGTATCCCACCTTCAGTCTCTCTTCTGACCCAGCCCCAGTCCTCACCCTGCTACCTGACTCCCATCCCTAACCCCATCCTTTACCCCCAGTCTCTGCTTGGCCCTCCCCAACCCCATGCCCTGAGTGTCTGCTCACCCCCAGGGGCCCAGAGGACACGGCCCAGCTGGCCCATGCAGTCCTGGCCAAGCTGAACGCCTTCAAGGCAGACACTCCCAGTCTGGGCGAGGTAAGCGGCTATACTGGGGAGGTGGGATGTGGCCGCAGCCAAGGTCAGGGTCAATGTCCTCAATCTTGCCCGCTCCCACCATCCCCAGGGCCCTGAGAAAACCCGCTCACAGCTGCTGATCATGGACCGGGCGGCTGACCCCGTGTCCCCACTGCTGCACGAGCTCACATTTCAGGCCATGGCCTATGACCTGCTGGACATTGAGCAGGACACGTACAGGTGGGTGGGCCCCAGAACCTCCCTCCCCCAGTCAGCACAGACCTGGGTCCCTGGTCCTCAACTAGTGCCCCTGACCTTCATGTCCCCCTTCTGCAGGTATGAGACCACCGGGCTGAGCGAGGCCCGTGAGAAGGCCGTGCTGTTGGATGAGGATGATGACCTGTGGATGGAGCTCCGGCATATGCACATTGCAGATGTGTCCAAGTATGTGCAGTGGGGGGCACCATGGCTGTGGGCCTTTCTACATTGTGGGCCCCACCTGAATCCCCACCACCACCATCACCCCCCCCCCATTGTGGGCCTTCCACCCTTGATGAGTGTGCCTCTCTACAAGCTACGTCCCTCAGCCGACTCTCAAGTGTTTCCCCAGCCTGGGCTTACATGTGGCTTGGTGCAGTCACATGCATCCCCCCGGCTCCTGCCCCCCAACCCTGCAATCCCCACACTGCCCTCAAACTATAGTCTTGGCACCAGCCCCCACCCAACCTCATCCCTGCCCACCCTCACCACCAGGAAGGTCACGGAGCTTCTCAAGACATTCTGTGAGAGCAAAAGGCTGACCACTGATAAGGTAGGGGCGGCCTGTGTCAGGTGGGCAGCTTGGGAGGAAAACGCCCCTCCCCACAGAGCGGGGGCAGGCCTCAGCCTGGATCCCAAGCCTGGAGTGGGGACCTCACACCTGCCTTGTCCCCAGGCCAACATCAAAGACCTGTCCCACATCCTAAAAAAGATGCCGCAGTACCAGAAGGAGCTGAACAAGGTGAGCACGGGTGGGGAACCAGCTCCCCCCGCCAACTCCCACTCGCCTCCCTGTCTTTGCGTTGACTGTGTGTTACCCCAACTCCCACCCCCCACTCCGTAGTATTCTACGCACCTGCATTTAGCCGACGACTGCATGAAGCGCTTCAAGGGTTCCGTGGAGAAGCTGTGCGGTGTGGAGCAGGTGCGGGTGGTCCCAGGACAGGATGTGGTCTGTGTGAGGGGCAGGGACTTTGGAGAAGGGTCCGGGAGTGTATGAGGGGCAGAACCTTAGTGAGGTGGGGCCTGTGGAGAGGTGTGTCCCGTGTGAGAGGTGGAGCCGGTGGTGAGGAGGACCTGCGTGAGGGGCGGGGCATGTTGGCGACAGGGGTAGAACCTTCAGAGACCTGGTACTAGGACGAAGCCAGGCCACAGATGTCTTGGTGAGGACTCGGGGGATGCCCCTGCCCAATTCCTCCTCCCGCCCCCAGTGGCTGACTGGACAGCTGACCTCCAATCCCTGTAGGACTTGGCCATGGGCTCCGACGCAGAGGGCGAGAAGATCAAGGATGCCATGAAGCTGATTGTGCCAGTGCTGCTGGACGCAGCAGTGCCCGCCTACGACAAGATCCGGGTCCTGTTGCTCTACATCCTTCTACGGAATGGTAGGTGGGGGGCAGTGGGAGCCTCAGCATACCCTGATTCACCAGGGTGTCCAGTAATTCTGGGACTCTCTCAACTCCACAGTTCCCCTGTCCTTGAGATGCCCCCACTCACCAGGCATGCCAAACCTCACAAGTGCCCTGTCATTGACCTAGGGGACCCCTCATTGATTCTTTGACATGAGGGCTCCATTGATATAGAGAACCCCCCAAATCTGTGACTCATCCAAACTTGGCCCCTCAACTAATTCCAGAGGATCCCCAGTGTACCCCCTCTGGGCTCCCTCCCCATCCCGAATTCTAACATCAGGACTCCCTTCTGTGGCTTCCTTGGTCCTGAGGACTTCCCCAGTGCAGGTCCTGGGACCTCCTCACACATCACCACTTAACCCAGGAACCCACATGGCCACCTTCTGTCCTCCCACCCTCCCAGACCCCCTCCCCCATGAGAATCCCACTCCCATAAGCCCACCCATCCCCTCCCTGGCCAGGTGTGAGCGAGGAGAACCTGGCCAAGCTGATCCAGCATGCCAACGTGCAGGCCCACAGCAGCCTCATCCGGAACCTGGAGCAGCTGGGGGCCACAGTCACCAACCCTGGGGTATGCTGGGATCAGAGCCTGGGCAAATGTAGGTGTGGGGAGGGGCAGTACCTGGGAGATAGCATTGAGTCAGCCTGGGCTCTGGGAGGTGGAGGGCACATCACAGGGCTGGCATCCACAGGGAAGGTATGGTTTTGGGGGAACAGAGAGCGCTGTGCGGTGATTGGTCCGGGGACCAGGGAACACTGGGGCTGTCCCCAACTCAGTTACATGATAAGCTGGGGAGATGAGGTGCAGTCAGAGCCCAGGTCCTGGTGGTGCAACATGGGGTATATGGTCTGAGTCCCGGGGTGGACAGCAGCGTTGCCAGCATTGGGGTGAGGGCACATAGTCGACCCTGGGCTCCTGGACATCTCAGAGGACCCCTGTGCACCCAACACGCACAGCTTCCTGGTCCTCAGCTTTCCGCGTAGCCCCTCCTGCCTCTCTCGGCCCCACATATCCCACCTCCCTTGACCCAGCCTCCACCCCTGGGCGGTGCCTCTCATGTCCCCCATCTCTCTCCTGGTCCCTTGACTCTCTCTCAGTTCCCCTGTTTCTCTGTGTCCTCCCATCTCTGTCCCCATTGTTCTCTCTTTGTCCTTGTCTTTCTTTTTGCCCTCTGTCTCATTGCCTCTGTATTTCTTCCTTCCTCTTTCTCTCATTTTCTCTCCTCTCTCTCTCTCTCTCTCTCTCTCTCTCTCTCTCTCTCTCTCTCTCTCTCTCGTTCTCTGCTCCATTTCTCTTATCTTTCTCTGCAACCCCCCCAAGCCAGATGAGCCCCCAGCCCCATCTATGACCCACCTCCTTCTCCCCAATTCCCCCACTGGCCCACCTCGCCCGGCCTGTAGGGCCCTGGGACCTCCAGCAGGCTAGAGCGGAGGGAGCGCTCAGAACCCACCTATCAGCTGTCGCGCTGGACCCCAGTCATCAAGGACGTGATGGAGGTATCACGGGTGTGGGTGGGCGCAGGAAGGGTGGGGGCTGGGGCCTGACCTCTCCTGCCCTGACCCAGGCAGCGGCCCAGCACCCTTCATGCCCGTGGTGCTAAGTCTCAGGGTTTAATGGAAAATCCCTCACTGCAGGCATCCCCTGACATCGGTCTGCTCTGTCAGGGGGTGGGGGGGGCACCCCAAGCCCATACCTGAGGAATTGGGGCAGCACAGGGGCCCCTTGCGGGGGAGCCTCATTTCCTTTTCACCCACTGGTCCCCTCCTCTGTCCCCCTCTATTCTCTTCCCTTGTCCCTGGGAAATCCCCTTTTTCCCCCTTCGCCCTCCCCATGCCAGCCCCTGGGACCCAAAAGCAAAGGCCAGACCAGGGGCTAGGCTTCCTGGCTTCTTCCCTGGTGTCCCTGTGGAGTACTGGCACTTCCACCCTGGCGCCCCCCATCCCCATGGACCCTGGATGCCTGGACTCCTGGCTCCCTGAGGGGCTAGGGGCTCATACTCCTGGATCCCCGAGCATCTGGAGATGCAGAAGGTGGCTCCTGTCTGCCAGGATCTTGGCTCCTGAAATGCCAGTGAGAGGATTCCAGAGCCTGGGCCCCCCTGCCTGGAGCTTCTCTCCTAAGCCTCCCCCTCACACTCCTAGGATGCCGTGGAGGACCGGCTGGACCGCAAGCTATGGCCCTTTGTGTCTGACCCCGCCCCCATGCCCAGCTCCCAGGCTGCTGTCAGGTGAGGGCCCCAGGGACACCTCCTGCTGGCGCCCAGGCCCATGTTAGGTGAGGGGCATGGTGGCAGGGGCATCTCCTACCTTTACTGACCTCTGTCCATCCCCCCAACACACACAGTGCCCGCTTTGGCCACTGGCACAAGAACAAGGCCGGCGTGGAGGCGCGGGCAGGGCCCCGGCTCATCATCTACGTCATGGGCGGTGTGGCCATGTCAGAGATGAGGGCCGCCTATGAAGTGACCAGGGCCACCGACGGCAAGTGGGAGGTACTCATTGGTAAGTAGCGAGGACTGGGGTCCCCGGGCTGGGGTGGGGCTGGGAGCTGGACTCGCCCATGCCTGGGTCCCTCGGGGGCTGGAGCTGGACTCTTGGGTGTTTTAGAAGGGTGGGCCTGAAGCTGGACTCCTGGGTTCCCAAAGCCTGGGAACTCTGTAGGGCTACTGTCTGAGAGCCCTGAGTGAGGAGAGGTGGCTGAACACCTGTGTTTCACTGGGGCTGGAACTTGGGTTCCCAGGAAAGGGGTCACCTGAGGCCCGGACCTCTGTGTTTCTAAGAGGTGCTCAGAGTCAAGGCCTGGTCTCCCGAGGACCCTGGCTGGGGGAGGTCAGGGGTCGAGGCAGCAATCTCATCTCCCCAACCCTCCCCTCCTGCCCAGGCTCCTCACACATTCTCACTCCAACCCGCTTCCTGGACGACCTCAAGATGCTGGACCAGAAGCTAGAGGACATTTCCCTGCCTTGACCCTCCCACCCCCACCCTGCGCTGCCCCCCTCCCTTTCCAGAAAAATAAACTCTCTTCTGTCTGGGGCCAGTGCCCACCTCGCTTTTTTCCCCCCCATTCCCTGGCCTGTGCCACACCATACCCTACTGTCCTGCCAGAGGGCGTCTGAAGCCCAGGTGGAGGCTAAGAACTTGGGCTCTGGTTTGAATATTGGCTCCAAGATTGACTAGCTGTCAGGTCTTGGCCAACTTGCTGGGTTCCCCATAAAAAAAAAATGGGGCCAGTAATGGCCACTGCTTTGTAGAGGAAATAAAATGGTGGCAGAAAGCTGATGGGTGACAGCTGCTGTTCCTCTGTTGTCACTAGAGTTACCTTGGCTGCTCCAGTGAGATTGTTAGTAGTAGTAACAAGTAGAACAGATCCTGTAAGCCCCCAGGAACTGTCCTGACAGATCCTGCAGCCCCATAGGCTGGGGGTCTTCTCCAGCTCCCGGGATCAACTGCATTTATGGGTGGACAGGCACAGACCATGTCTGTTTCCCACGTCTCTTCGTCCTCCCCATCCCCAGGTGTTTCCATGGGCTCCTAATTGCAGGACTTAGAGTCTCTACTGGGTGTATTTGCTAGGGCTACCGTAACAAAGTACCACATTCCAGAAGACTTAAACAACAGAAATTTATTTGATCATAGTTTTGGAGGCTGGAAGTACAAGATCAAGCTGTTGGCAGGGTTGGTTTCTCCTGAAGCCTGTATCCCTGGCTTGCAGATGGCCAACTTCTCCCCATGTCCTCACGTGGTAGTCCCTCTGTGCATGTCTGTCGTAATTCCCTCTTGTAAGGACACCAGTCATTGGATTAGGGCTCACCCAAATGACCTCATTTTAACTTAATTGTCTTTAAAGGCTCTATCTCCAAATACAGTCACAACCTGAGGTACTTGGGGCTTGGGCTTCAACATACGGTTTTTTGGGGGATGCAGTTCAGCCCAGAACACAGCTAAAATGAGATGTGAATCCCATAGCACAAAGACAGATGAGGACCCTTGTCTCTCGGGCACAAACTCACAGCCAGGCAGATGATGACGGAAGGAGGACACCCTAATCCATCCAGTCTGGGGGCAGTCACGGATGGCTTTCCTCGAGGTGAAGTTTGAGTTGGGAATGAAAATGAAGAGGGGAGGGCCCGGTGGAGGCAAACGCAGGAAAGTGGAATGAAGCCAGAGGGGAAGAGTATTGAGGGACAACAAAATCCAAGATCCACGTAGGGCCTCGTAGGTTGTGGTGAAGATTCAGGGCCAGGGGAGGTGGGTAAACTGGGTATAGTGCTTCCCCACCCCCACCTCCAGTGGAACACGGCTTATTTCCATTCTGTCACCTCTGGGAATGTAGCCCATACAAGGCTGGGACCAGGAGGGTGTGGGCAGAAACAGGACATCCAGGACCCTCCTTTCCTGCTCGCTAAGGACTTGGCCCTGATTTTGAGGTCACCTATTCTTTTGAAAATTCAGAGAAATCTAAGGACACCTTTCCTAGAAAAAACGCACACGCAGTTTACAGGTGAGGCCTTGGAGAAGTACAAAACTCTGATCCAGCAATTCTAAGACCTTTCTGAGACTCCCACCAGGGCAGAAAGATGGATGCGCAAGGTTGTCGCGTGGGTGGGGTTCGGGGGCGGGAGCTTGGGGGTTGGAGGTGGGTCGGCGGCGCGGACCCCTGACACGGTCCAACCTGGATGCACGTCTCCCCGCCCGGCTTCGGCAGGGAAGTGATTTATCTGGGGGGAGACAGAGGGACTGGGAGGGAGAGGGAGACGGTTTTAAAGTGAAACATTTAAACTCGCCTCCCTGGGAATTGGCTGTTTTCCTGCCAGACTCGCTTCTGTAGGTAAGCGCTGTGAGCACCAGTGGGCGCTGTGGCTCAATTTTCCGTTTCCTTTGATCTTTCGCGTCGGTAACTGGAGCTTGGGTGACCCCAATTACAGACGTCCAGAAAGTAGGTCAGGGGTTACTCAGTACTCAGCCACAACACAACTTTGTTGCTTAAACTGCCTCTATCTCTGTCCCTTATTTATACTCAGGTGACGTAATGTTTCTAACCTGAGGACATTCTGATTCTACAAATATTCATGGGCCCCTATGGGCCACAACAGCCAGCAGTATCAGGCCCTGACAGTGTCCCAGGCAGCATGCCAAGCCCTCCACACACATGACCCAGAATCCTCAAAACCCTCCCATGAGAATAAAATCCAACCTTTTCTCCCTGCGACCTGATGAGACTCCCCCTCCCCACTCCATTCCTCACTGGATCAGTCAGCCACAGCTGCTCCAGCAGCCCTGGACTGTGCCTGCCACAGGGCCTTTGCACCTGCTGTTCTCCTTGCCTGCAAGGCTGTTCTCCTAAATTTTCTAGTCCCTCCCTCCTTCTCATTTTAGCTCCCATGTCACCACCTTGGAAAAGCCTCTGCTTTACTTCCTTGGGGGCATTTATCATGACTTGGTGTGTTTTCTTTGGGGTTCTCTTCTCATCCTGGGGAATGGCCCCTATTCTGGACTTGACTGGTTGCTTCTTCATGACCTCTTATAGCTTGTTCCTCGACATTCCTCCCATCCCAGTTGATGAAAGGGTGTCCTCTGGGGCTGCGGGTTAGCTCAGGTGGTTAGAGTGCAGGCTCTTAACACCAAGGTTGCTGGTTCGATTCCCTCATGGGCCAGTGAGCTGCTCCCTCCACAACAAGATTGAAGACGACTTGTCTTGGAGCTGATGGGTCCTGGAAAAAACACACTGTTCCCAATAAAATTTAAAGAAAGAAAAAGAAAAAAGAAAAAAGAAAGGGTGTCCTCTGGTCCGCACCAACTCTCCACATAAAGGTGTTAGCAGCCATTGGTTCTCACCACCAGGACCTACTCTCTCTTGAAGACTGTTTCCAGCCTTACCATTCCTTCCACTGGAATTAGCTGTGGTCCTTCTTGAAAGAACTGCCCCTCAGCAAGTAACAACCTGGTACATTTTCTTATATATTATCTTCAAGATACCCAGGAGGCAACTGAACTCCTGTGCGCATCAAGGAAGCCTGGGGTAGGGACAGATTTCAGAGTCACTGGTAGTCATATTATAAACATTTAAGAGGCATCCAGGAACCACTAGCTATCATCATCATTATATTAATATAATGTTAATATAGACTGTAATAATAAATTATTGACATAATAATAATATGATTATTTAACACTCTAATGGGGGCCAGCCCTGGGCTGGGCAGTGGTTCCCAGTGTGTGCTTAGAAGAAGGGCCCCACAAAATGAGAAAAAAGGATTCTTCAGGCTAACATCAGTGCTTTGGACAGTCTGAGGGGACCCCTGGGACAAAGTGAGCACTCATGCTCTTGAGGTCAGGAATGTATTACAGAGTGAGAGTTCTCCACCTGTGCTATACAGGGGACTTCTTCTAGAATAATACCTCATCCAGGTAATGGATAGTAGGGTCTGTGGTCATGAACTTGCTCAACTTGAAAAATGCAAGGGTCCTGGGTACCCAGGAGTTGCCCGCTGGGCCAGGTGAGGGGATTGCGAAACCCCAAGCCTGGAAGGGAACCCGGCAGAGGAAGGGGGCAGAGTAAGAAGTGCTGGAGGTGGTGGCGGTGGCGGTGGGGGGCACTTCATGGCCCCAGGGTAGGAAAACGAAGTGAATGTGACTTAATGAGTCAAGGAAAGCGCAAGGAAGTGAGAAAAGTGAAGAAGGGAGGAGGTGCCAGCGTCCCAGGAGAACCTAGACATCAAGGAAGCAGGGCAAGCAAGCTTCCTTTTTTTTTTTTTGTAAAGTTGCTCAAAATCTTAAAACACAAGTTAACCAACAGCTGCTGCCAAGAACATTGTGAAAAGACCTCTAGGGTGAGGAAATTGCCCTGTGAGTGGGAAGGTTCTGCTTCAGTGGGGCTGGAGAATTTGGGGGACAGGACAGGAAGGGGAAGTCCTGGCTGGGGGCCCCTTCAGCTTGGGTGACCACAGTTCACTTCTGAGACCACTCAGAGCCTCAATCACTGTCGGTGGCTGGGGAAATTCTGGGAAAATAATGATTTTAAAAGGCGACATTTATGAAGCATTTATTATGTGCCATGCCCCGTCTATATAGTCTGCATAGATTCACACAAAGCACATATACTTGCTTAATGAAATAAGATGGAGAAAGACACATCCTGTATGATTTCACTTATATGTGGAATCTATCTCCCCGACCCAGTTTTATTGGCATATAATTGACATATATGTAATTTTAAGGTGTACAGCATAGTGATTTGATATATGTATATATTGTGAAACGATCACAATAAGGTTAGCACATCCATCCCCTCATATAGTTACAATTTGTGTGTGCATGGTTAGAACTTTAAAAATCTACTCTGTTAGCAACTTTTAAACACACAATATAGTATTGTGAACTATAATCACCATGCTGTACATTAGATTCCCAGAATTTATTAATCTTATAACGAAGTTTGTGCCTTTTGACCACCTTCACCCATTTACCAGCCCCTGGCAACCACCAATCTGTCCTCTATTGATATGAGTTTGGGTTTTTTTGTTTTGTTTTGTTTTGTTTAAGATTTTTATTGGGGAATTGGGGGGATGGGAACAGTGCTGGGGAATTGGGGGAAGGGGAACAGACAAGTTGCTGTCGTTTTTGTTCTGGCCCTCATATGTGGGATCCGAACCGGGGCCCTCTGGCATCCCAAGCGAGTTCTTAACCATCGCGCCACTCGGCCGGCCCGAGTTTGGTTTTTTTTATATGGACTCTAAAAATGCTGACCTTGGGCTGACCGTGTGGCTCAGTTGTTTAAGAGCTTGCTCAAGAGTGCGAGCTCTGAGCAAAAGGGTTGCCTGTTCGATTCCCACATGGGCCAGTGAGATGGGCCTGAGCTGAGCTGCCGCTGAGCTGCCAACAGGTGGCAGGATGGCTCGACTGGTGAGAGCATGTGCTCCTAACAAGGTTGCCTATTCCAGATGGTGGGCTATGCCCACCTGCAACGAAAGACTGAACTCGGCACCTTGAGCTGAACTGCCGCCTGGGTGGCTCAGAGGATAGAGTGTGCGCTC